AGTCTCCATCAGTGTCAGATTTAGTTTACTTGTATAGAATGTCAGTCTCCGCCAGTGTCAGATTTAGTTTACTTGTGTAGAATGTCAGTCTCCGCCAGTGTCAGATTTAGTTTACTTGTGTAGAATGTCAGTCTCCGCCAGCGTCAGATTTAGTTTACTTGTGTAGAATGTCAGTCTTCGTCAGCGTCAGAATTAGTTTGCTTGTGTAGAATGTCAGTCTCCGTCAGCGTCAGATTTAGTTTGCTTGTGTAGAATGTCAGTCTCCGTCAGCGTCAGATTTAGTTTGCTTGTGTAGAATGTCAGTCTCCGTCAGTGTCAGATTTAGTTTACTTGTGTAGAGTGTCAGTCTCCGTTAGTGTCAGAATTAGTTTATTTGTGTAGAATGTCAGTCTCCATCAGTGTCAGATTTAGTTTATTTGTGTAGAATGTCAGTCTCCATCAGTGTCAGATTTAGTTTACTTGTATAGAATGTCAGTCTCCGCCAGTGTCAGATTTAGTTTACTTGTGTAGAATGTCAGTATCCGCCAGTGTCAGATTTAGTTTACTTGTGTAGAATGTCAGTCTCCGCCAGTGTCAGATTTAGTTTACTTGTGTAGAATGTCAGTCTCCGCCAGTGTCAGATTTAGTTTACTTGTGTAGAATGTCAGTCTCCGTCAGCGTCAGATTTAGTTTGCTTGTGTAGAATGTCAGTCTCCGTCAGTGTCAGAATTAGTTTGCTTGTGTAGATGTCAGTGTTGAGTTGATTGCTGACATCATAGCACACCAGGCATACCCGTAGATGCTTCGTCTCCCGGTCGCATACTTCCTCTTTTACGTAATATCGACACATACTTCCAGTTGTTGCAGCCTTACGCGTGTTGTTTCACCGAACTCCCGCATCTCCCTTGTGGATTTCTTATTTAATGGTTTTCAGAATATCTGCCGTGATCCAATAAGAATCGTCTTGCTGCTTTGCTTTTGTACCCAAACAGTCAACTGGTTCTGTTCTGTGCCCGGCTACATGTCCCGGACAGTACATTTACGCGAGTCCCTGTACTGCGGATGTGCGGGGTATCCACTCATGCGACATTTGTCCATTCTGAATCTTCAACAGTACTGACTGAGAAACAGGCACTAAGATTCTTCAGGTAGTGCTTTTTCCAGCTGTCCTCTTCGGTGCTGTGTTGATTGCCTCCACCTGCATCCTTGTCACGTGGATCTGGCTAAACCAAGACTGCCTGTCCTGCTGTAACTTGGACTCAAACATATTAGTTCATTGAAACAGCACTCTTGCGCTGAGAACACGTGACTTTTGTTGCAAACAAAATTTAGAATTGGAGGAGGGGGGTCGGGGGGGGGGGGGTTGCACTGGTGGCGAGAAAGAAAGGGGAAGAGAAGGACAGCGACACAAGAGAGAGAGAGAGAGAGAGAGAGAGAGAGAGAGAGAGAGAGATGCAATAGCAATGTGTGTGTGTATGAGTGAGAGAGAGAGAGAAAAAAAGAGAAAGAGAGAGAGAGAGAGAGAAAGAGAGAGAGAGAGAGAGAGAGAGAGAGAGAGAGAGAGAGAGAGAGAGAGAGAGAGAGATCTGTAATGATCAGGTAGGAGCTTCTCCACGGTGTTGCCCCAGTGGATGTCATCAGGAATGGACTACGTCACTTCAGCTCTTCACATCTAGCTGATATCGTACCCGTATCATTGTATTCAGTGTGAACTGACATTGCTATCAACGGCATCATCGCAGATCATCTGTGATTTTTCTTACCTCTTTACTACTTCTTCTTCATCTTCTGTTCTCTACTCCTGGAATCCCTCGCGACGCCAGGGCAGGAAGAGATCCCTGGAACGGGCTCTTCTGTTCGCTCCGTATAAAATACCTATCAGTGTCTCTGATATTTTTGCGGTCCATCTTCTGCGCGATCAACCTCTGGCTCTGTTACCGCCATATTTGTATAACATTTTTACAGCAGCCACGCTTATTTTTTTCGAAATCTGAATAATTCTCACATACTTGCTTGATTTGTTTTGGACTTTTTAGCTAGCATCAGATGATAGATAATCTTCTGAACATAAAAACATGATGTGTTAGTGTTTCTGTTAATCTCGCAGTTTTCTAACCATTTTCTGCAGACAAAGTTCATCCATCTTACTGCCACCAATGGTGAAAACTTGAGTGTTGCGCGCATTAATTTGTGCACTCCTGTGATTGGCTACTTCATTTTTTTCAAAATGGCTGAATGCCAAACTTCCGGTGGGGACTTCTTCTCACCCCAATAACCCCCCCCCCCCCCCCCCCCCCGCCCCAATGAGATTGAGGTTAGACGTTGGAGCCGAGGTCAGAGCTTGAAAGGAGCCTGATTTGACCTTTCTCTGAGAAGGGTTAATAATGTTGCCGCAGAGAATGTTTTGGCAGACGCGAGAGTATTTGCTCCCTGTCAAAAATGCGAACTGTGTTGCCAGGGTGCCAGGAGGGAGCGCTGCTTCTTAGAAAGACAGGTTAACGGTCGGCATTGAATTTCTGGGGAATTAGAAAATCAAGAGCTGTGCAGACAGATTGATGAGTGGGCCAGTTATGTCTTACACAAATGGTTGCAATAATAGCAGGCTTTTATCAAGCGTGGCTGCAATAAAAATATGTGGATAATTTGTTGGAAGTATGAATGTCTTTAGAATTTTTCGCTGCAGGAAGTTACACGTTATATAAGTTCACTGGCGAGAACACACACACACACACACACACACACACACACACACACACACACACACACACACACACACACACACACACACACATATAAAGTTCAGATGACGGGAAGGCGTAGGAAAAGAAGGAGGAATGTTCCCTATTATTTGTAGACATTGTTTCTACTCCATGTTGCCAATACTGAAAATGTTTTACATATTCTCCGGTCTCCGCTGTTGTTTACTGACGTCATCATCCGAGCATCGCTGGTTGCACTTCGATACTCACCGTGTGGACCCTGGGGCCCCATTGTCGTGGGGATGGGGGGGGGGGTGGGGTGGTCGGGACCCACTATTCCCAATAAGCATGTCGTTAGATTCGCACAGTTATTGGCTTTTTCTTCGACGTCTGTGTTCATCTGCCTGATAGGCGAGGAAATAAACTGCATAAAAAAGCCACATCTGTAAAACGTGTATGCACGCATAACTCAATGTTCTTCAACATTATTCCTCAGTATTTTTACTCACACAAATGGAGGAGGGGGAGGGGTGGGGGATGGGGTGGGTGGGGGGGGGGGGGGGGTAGATTGTTTAGCCAACCATCTGATAGATAACTAAAAACAGAAACAAAAACAAAAGTAGCCAGCAGTTTGTTGTTGTTGTTATTGTTGTTGTTGTTGTTGTGGTGGTGGTGGTGGTTTTTGGTTAAATCAGATGTTAGATTCACCTTGAGGTAATAATCCTACATGCTGCAACAGTGGACCAGACAAACTACCTACTCCGCAACATGACATAACCAGGCAGCATTTGTTTTTACGGCCCACACCAACCTTTCCACTGCCTACCTGTGGTCCGCGGCCCACACCAACCTTTCCACTGCCCACCTGTCGTCTGCGGCCCACAAAAACATTTCCATAGCCCACCTGTGGTCCGCGGCCCATTAGGTGAACACTGTTCTGGAACAACATCGAACCTTTTCCCATAAATTGACAGCTGGTCAGCGCGAAGAAGAAGAAAAGGAAAACGAAGAAGACGAAGAAGAAGAAGAAGAAGAAGAAGAAGAAGAAGAAGAAGAAGAAGAAGAAGAAGAAGAAGAAGAAGAAGAAGAAGAAGAAGAAGAAGAAGAAGAAGAAGAAGAAGAAGAAGAAGAAGAAGAAGAAGAAGAAGAAGAAGAAGAAGAAGAAGAAGAAGTAGAAGAAGAAGAAGAAGAAGAAGAAGAAGAAGAAGAAGAAGAAGAAGAAGAAGAAGAAGAAGAAGAAGAAATGCGACGTCATGTTTGATGGCCACGATCTCTTATAAGAATGTGGTAAGACTTATTATTTGTTTGTCTTCAAAGTCTGAGTTCAACTGCCTGATAGGCGATGAATTAAGCTGCTTTAAAAAAACTAGTGACCACTTGTGTAGAATGAGAAGCCCTGGAGCATGGGACATAACTCCAGTTTTTAAATAACAGATTACACATTACAGGAAGTGACGACATATCGGTTATGACAAGCTACAATGGCGGCCACAAATGTGCACTTCCGGTCGGTTGCTAGGACACCAGCATGGATAACGCTATTCAGTGTCTGAGATAAAGGCAATCATTTAGTTTAAACATTTTGTTCGTTTTGCCACCGTAGGCACACAAGAGAACTCACAGTGGCAGAGAGACAGATTCATTCTGAGCTCATTGGTCTGTAGTCACCAGCACAGAACTACACATGCATTATGTTAGGGCAGCCGATATGGGTGTTCCAGTTATGGTTTCTTTAAAGGCTAAAAAGGCGGATTTGTTCCGTTGGCTTGCCATCCAGAACGGACTTTACAGTCACTGAACACGAACAAGAAGAATACTTTTTGTTTGTTGTTGTTCTTCCTTCTCTGCCCTTTGTCTTCCTCTAAGTACTAAATCCAAAGAAATTGTGTCACAAAATTGGCCACAAGATCACATTAGCATATTACTAGCAATGTCCAGGGAATCAAACACACAGTGTTTTTATGAGAAATCGATACTGAATTGAGAATTTCATTAATATCAAGTCGACTGCCTTTACTTTCCAGAACATTTCATATTGAATATTTTGGCAAGGCCTACCAAGAAGTTCCGCTCGATGTTTTCATAATAATAAAACAATTGACGACTCAATGTAGATTTGAACACTGGACCGACAAGTAAGCATCCGAGCCACTCGACTTCAGCTGTGTTCGCCCTAAGGCCCAGCCCAGCAAAAACCTGGTTCTGCCAGCTAAATGACCTTTAGGTAGTCACCGGATCTGAGAACAGAATTGGCAGATTGGAGCTAAGAGGCAACTGACCACTTGAGATCACTCATTTGTCTTTGTCGTTGACCATCCACAGGTGTGCCGGTCAAGGCGGGCTACCGGTCCATCTACATGACCAACCATTGCAGCATGGTGGTCTCCATAGAGGCCAGCCTGCTGCTAGAGCTGACACCGCCGGACAGTCTGGGCCATGGACGTGGCGGGGAATTCCTGCATTGTGATGTCGACATCCTAGCCCCGAGAGACAGCAGGATCCTGGTGCATGTTCAACGGTTGGGCATCTCACCTGTTTCAGATCATTCAGACAGGTAGGGGCATCCCTGGAGGTAATTATTACTTTGACATAAACTCGCGACTCCCTGTGTGGGCTATGGGCCACGATTGAGGGGGTGGGGTGGGGATGGGGTTATTAAATCTACTTTCACCCTAACAAGCGTTTCGTAACAGTCAACTAATTAGGGGTATTTTCTTTGAAGATCTACTTGAGGCGAGTAACCATCAGTCTGCATACAAAAAAGCAAAACCTGTCAAATGGATGGGCATGCAAAACTTACGTTCCGAACAAGACTAAAGTCAAGACATGGACGAACATATCCGGCAGAGTTTTACGGTAAAAGTTAAAAAAAAAAAAAAAAAAACTTGGATACGTAGCGTAATTCCTACAATTAATCATAAATGTGTGGTATTTGCAACATTCGTCATAGAAAGCGTGTCTCAGCTGCCTCTGACCGTCCCTGAACTGTCTGGGCATTAGGGCGAACTCGAAGGCACAGGAAGCAAGCTGCGTGTCTGCATGCCGTTGAGGAACGAAGGCACAGGAAGAAAGCTGCGTGTGTGCGTGCCGTTGTGGAAGGAAGGCACAGGAAGAAAGCTGCGTGTGTGCGTGCCGTTGTGGAAGGAAGGCACAGGAAGAAAGCTGCGTGTGTGCGTGCCGTTGTGGAAGGAAGGCACAGGAAGAAAGCTGCGTGTGTGCGTGCCGTTGTGGAAGGAAGGCACAGGAAGAAACCTGCGTGTCTGCATGCCGTTGACGCACCCCGCGCTGCTACCTGAAAAATCTGACACGCTGAGATCAGAAGATCTTAGTCTTGATGACAGACTAACAGAACCTCTGTAGTAGTAGTAGCAGCAGCAGCAACAGCAGCATCATCAGAAGTAGTAGTAGTTGACATTTAAACTTTAACAATCCATAACCGTTTGGTAGAAGTTGTGAAATTTGGAAGGGAGACATAATAGTGCCTTGATAGGAATTTTGAAAGAAAAAAAAATGTAGTTTTCATTTTGCTTATTTTTTTTTTTAAATATGAAAAACAGATACCGATTCAAAGCGAACAATCAGCAAGATTTCAAACATCAAATCGCTCAGGTGATCATCTCCAGGATTAGTCTCTTGTAACTGGTGAATTTTTCTTGCAGGCTGGATAGATTATCAAAACAAATACCATGCCTGGCTACACCTGTGACGTGGTTTCCAAACTCTCTCCAGGAGTGTGTCAGATACTCAATATTGTATTTTTACACAAATTGTTAGTCAAATAAAGATCAAAGAAATTAGCCGCTTTAAGAAAACGGAAGCGCCTGTGCAATGGTAAATGATAAAATCGGAAGGATTCTTGCCGGGTGTCGTGGATAATATCCGGATAGATGTATCGGAGGCGGGACATCTTGCTTGTGATCAAGAAATTTTCCGGAGGCCTGTTATGGGAGCAAAGTTCTGCAAAGGATATGCTACTGACTGACTGACTGACTGACTGACTGACTGACTGACTGACTGACTGACTGACTGACTGACTGACTGACTGACTGACTGACTGACTGATTGACTGACTGACTGAAGAACAGGAAATCTGAGGTCACTCGCATAAATTGGAGTTGATCTGTACAGGAGTTTTCGAGATATTTGTTAATGTTTGAGAATACGAGTTTTGAAACAGAATAAGTAGAAAACCCTTAATCTGGAGTCAACTTGACTAAAGCAATAAAGTGATGCCTAATACATGCATAACAGAGATTACAGATAAGTATCAATGATATAGTGGTGAGAAGAAGAAGGTAGTGGTGAGAAGAAGAAGGTAGTGGTGAGAAGAAGAAGGTAGTGGTAAGAAGAAGAAGGTAGTGGTGAGAAGAAGAAGGTAGTGGTGAGAAGAAGAAGGTAGTGGTGAAAAGAGAAGAAGGTAGTGGTGAGAAGAAGAAGGTAGTGGTGAGAAGAAGAAGGTAGTGGTGAGAAGAAGAAGGTAACGGTGAGAAGAAGAAGGTAGTGGTGAGAAGAAGAAGGTAGTGGTGAGAAGAAGAAGGTAGTAGTGAGAAGAAGAAGGTAATGGTGAGAAGAAGAAGGTAGAGGTGAGAAGAAGAAGGTAGTGGTGAGAAGAAGAAGGTGGTGGTGAGAAGAAGAAGGTGGTGGTGAGAAGAAGAAGGTGGTGGTGAGAAGAAGAAGGTAGTGGTGAGAAAAAGAAGGTAATGGTGAGAAGAAGAAGGTAGTGGTGAGAAGAAGAAGGTAGTGGTGAGAAGAAGAAGGTGGTGGTGAGAAGAAGAAGGTGGTGGTGAGAAGAAGGAGGTAGTCGTGAGAAGAAGGTGGTGCTGTAGAAAACAACAGAGAGGAGGCTTTGGTGTCAGTTGTTTGAGGGCTTCTGCTGCACTTGGATTAAGTCACCAGATGAACCTGGTCACGCGAGGCTTCGTCATGTGATGCTAGGCTCATATTTGTATAGACCAGTCACATTCGGTGGATACTGGGGTCAACGCCGTGCCGTCCGGCTTTACCTCCCAGGACTTTACCTGGGAGCCATGATTGATTTGAACTGAATACTTTCTGGTCGGAAGGCGAGCATGTAGCCGCTACACCACCGGTGTAGGCAGACTAATATCTGCTTATGGCATTTTTGCCGCCACATTTATGTCTCTGCCCGGTGATCCTGGTTATGTTAGCGCCATCTGTGGTGTCATGAGTGAGTGAGTGACTTTCTACCCCACTAGGACATCACACAAGCGATAAACACCCGATGACACAACGTGCCACCATGTGGATGAGGATCGCCGTGGAGAGGTCCCAGAAACCGCGTTCAGACATTTGGCCATTTTTATGGCCTGCCTATATTGCGGCCCCTGGCAAAAGCCAGAGTGGGGCTTCAATTAACAAAAAATTACGTCCTAAAAAGGACGTAAGTAAGTTATGATTCTGTGGTGTCATTCTCAGACTGCAGCTTTATGAGGGAAGCCCAAGCAACACACGCCTGACGCCAATCAAGGGACTGTATGGCAGGCTAGATAGACCACTTTCCATATCTGACATCCCAGGTATGTGTATGTACCAATACAGTTGTAACATCGACTTTAACCAAATAGTTAGAGATACTATTCATCAGTATTTTGTTTTTACATTTTCAAAAATCTTGAATCCAGTGTATTGCCTAATGTTTACTTTTGCCATGATTAGACGAGTACACGTATGTTGGAGACTGCTACAAGCAAGACAAACTGGCAACTTATCCACGGTCCATGTTTTACATTGTACTTTAACGGAGGGGGGAGGGGCATGGCAACCATAGCCATGGCGACGGCGGGCGTGGCTAGCAACGACCTGCTCGCACTGATAAAGTTGTCGACAAGTAGAGAACATTGTTTCAGGGCCACTGTTACTCTTGAATGTAGTTCTCATACTTGCTCTCAAAGCCCAGCTCTCACGCTGTCTGAAATCTATTTCTCCAGATTCCTTTATGGTGTGTCGCCTCCGTGCGTCAGGGTCCATTGCGCCCTGTTCACACTAATTCACATCAATACCTGTATCATTCACTTCCTGCGTACACACATATAAATCGCAAGCAGCAAAACGAATACAGTCATTGGCATAACGGACACTTATCACACACTCCCCCCCCCCCCCACCTCGCCTCTCTCTCCCCATATCTGATTAGACACAGTCTGCATATATCTATGGCATTGTGGTGCTGGGGTGTCTATGGATTACCTACTTCCCCGGGCAGCAGCTAGAAGTGGCCTGTACCAGTTCTAAAGGAAATATGGGTTGTGTTTCTGCCTTCCCCTTTAACACGTAGCTAAGGTGGGGCTCACAGTGTGCTCATTCCCCGCCACCAGATTGCCTGCAGGTTTCGCTGAGCTCTTCGTGGCTCTAAGCATGGTCTAAGCATGAGTAGTTGGGGCAACTGGATCGTCACGTCCTGAGTCCCTGTGCTTTCACGATAGTTTCCGGTATTCAGGGGGGTTAGCATACTTGTTTCCATTCCTAAGACTGTTCAGCACACCTCTGGCTCCTTCCCTCCCACAGGGGGCAGTACGGTGTGGTGCACCGGGTTTATTATCGAGGTTTGCTTCTCTAGATCCATTGTGTTTTGCCTGGGGATTCGCACCCCCAGTTACCAGGACTACCTCGGGGAGGCTGTGACTCTTCGCCACGCACAATGGTCTTGAGGTAAGAGAGGTTTTGCTAGGTCAAGAGGCTGACACCGCAATGCACGCTCCTTTCGTGAACAGATATTCACTAGACCTAGGGTGAAGTAAGGGGAAGGGGGGGGGGGGGACCACTCCCCACAACACCAACACTTCTTACCCCCTGCCTCTCGAGGCTCAGTCTGCAGGATTAAGACCTCAAGTATGAGAATAAAACAGGTACAAATCCTACAAACCCCGCTCACCCGTTTGGAACAGATATACTGGGTCAAGGCCGTCTTGTGTTACATATTGAAGACGACCTTGAGTAGGGCACCATCCAACGGTTACCAAGCAGCATGTAATCCCGTGTAGGTAGTTCCTATGAATTGTTACTTGTCTGTGTCAATTTTAAGGGGAGGGGGGGGGGGGCAGGTTAACTAAGTTTAACCTGTTTCTGGAAGCAGCACTCGGTTATACTTGTGCTCTGTACTATAACTGAAAAAAACATGACCACTGATCTTACTCAGGCAGCACTCGGTTACATTTGTGGACTGTATTCTCACTGAAGAAACATGGCTATTTATCTTATCCAGGCAGCAAGGTGAAGGATTATAAGACTTCCAGCAACAAGTTGAAGGTCGATTACCTTGGCAAACCGACACGAGCAACTCCAGGCTTTCAGTTGATCATTACAGCAGTTCAAGGTCAGTAGTTTCTGTAGGTGTCAGGGTGGGTTGTGTGTATGATTGTACATTTATGTACCCGGCCACTGGTAGGTTGTGTGTATGATTGTACATTTATGTACCCGGCCACTGGTGGGTTGTGTGTATGATTGTACATTTATGTCACCGGCCACTGGTGGGTTGTGTGTATGATTGTACATTTATGTACCCGGCCACTGGTAGGTTGTGTGTATGATTGTACATTTATATCACCGGCAACTGGTGGGTTGTGTGTATGATTGTACATTTATGTCACCGTCACCGGTCCATGGTTGGTTTGTGTGTTATGATTGTACATTTTATCATCACCGGGCCACTGGTGGGTTGTGTGTATGATTGTACATTTATGTCGCCGGCCACTGGTGGGTTGTGTGTATGATTGTACATTTATGTCGCCGGCCACTGGTGGGTTGTGTGTATGATTGTACATTTATGGGTAAGATCCACTATAATCTGCCCAGCCGAACTAGGTCACGTTCCACTGATAGATTTTTTTAGACTCATCTGCTGTCGGGGGGGGGGGGGGGGGGGGGGGTGAGGGGGGGGGGCGGGGTTACGGCTATGTTGTTTGCTTTCTGGCTTGTCTGGCATTTACGGTTTTTTTCCACACACACACAAAAAAAAGAATGCCTGGGACATAGGTTGCAGCACTCTCTAAAGGTGAGAGGAGGGGGGGGGGGTATGGGTTAGACCCAGTTTTTAAATGTTTTTGTGTACAACACGGGATATCAACGCATTGTCGAAAACTCCCCTAGCAGTGTGAAAAGGTCGGGTGACTGGAGGTCGACCAATCAGAAGCGAGCTAGTGTGTAACGTGGGGGAGATTTTAATGTAACTAACCCAGTTATGTCAATGGCCGCTGGTGGGCTGTAGTCTGTTCACGGTGAAATGTCTAAAACGTATTCAGGAAACACTTCAAGTCTGGACCTAGTCCCAGCCTGTTTGGGTGTGACTTCTGCATGTACGTGTACTGTCTGCGTGTGCATATGCAGTCTGTGTGTGTATTTATGTGCTGTCTGTATGTTCCTTCCCCTATTTGCTTTGCCATGTAGATTATAGCGAAAGGATATTCCAGTTATTAAATTATTAGTATATTTTCCAACAGTTTTTTCCCAAATAAGAATATGTAGCTGTATCTTTAAAAAATGGCTGGTTTTTCAAGTGGCATATCTGGTCACAGCTACTACGTCTGCCGGCACCTGCCTGCCAACACAGTACCTCTGCAGACGCGCGTCAGACTGCGTCATGCGTCACGTGGTCTGTGATGGTCATCCCAACTGTGGCAAAGATGATGATGGCGACGAGAGTGAGTGCCACAGTGCCGATACACTTACCGACCTGCTTGCTCAGTGTAAGTATATCAGATGTATAGTCGCAGTAATATACACACAGATTACCATTCTATTCAATGCATGTGCAAATATAGTCATAGTACTAAAGACAGACTGTATTAAATATAATCTGGGTATTATATTTAGAAATGATTAGTCTAGGCACCTCTTTTTCTGTGTTCACCGGCTGTAAGCTCCGGCGGAAAGTCCGGGTTGTTCGTCCATTTAGACTCGAGCTTTGTGCCGGGGCATGAGATGTGCCTGTACATTGATTATGCTGGCTTATTTATGTGCAGTTGGTTGTTCCTTCCTGCTGGGGCAGATACACTCTGACCTCCACGGAAGCTCCCAATTAATCGAATACTACGACATGCTTGTTAGGAAGGCGTCTACTCTTGTTTTCCTACAACAGAGCTCTAGTACCCACATGGGGGAGGGGTGGGGAGGGGGGGGGCATGGAACCCACACGTGGGGGGAGGGGGTGGTGCCTGGAACCCACACTGGGGGTGTGGAATTTGTGTTTGTTAGGAGTATCAAAATCCCCTAGTAAGGTACCGGCGCCTCTGTTCTACATACAGTTGTAGCTTTGATGTTAAATACACACGTTACACATGCCTATAATATAAATGCAAAGTCCCAGGGAGAGGTCCCAGTCATCAAGACACACAGAAACACGACTTTTTTCACCAGGCTGACGCAGTTACACGCCCAAGTTTTGCTAAATGCCGAGTTCACCGTTGTCACGTCAAGGAAAACACCGGTGGCCATTTCAATGTGAACAGTGTCAGTTTGGATCTAGAAGCCGCTCAGTTTGCTGATGGATATGCTGTTAGAGGTGAAAAGACTAAACAAGAACAAGAAATATGTCCATCTTCCAGGGAAGCCGACGACAGAGACGACGAGATCGCGACACTTTTCTACTCCAGCACAGAAAAGGGGGTTGGGGGGGGGGGGACAGAATATAGGAATGTCGGAAACGAATATCAGTGTGGGGAAAGACTAGTCACAAAAAGTAATTACATGATGTGAATGAAAGTGGAAGAGGCCGAAAGACTTCCACCTGCATTTCTAATAAAACCCTCCGGATATTTCTACTAAGTGGTCCTTCTCCGCTAATGACTGCAGGTGACACGAGACTAGTGCAGCACTCAGAGGTGACATGAGACTGGTGCAGCACACACAGGTGACAGGAGACTGATGCAGCACACACAGGTGACACAAGACTGGTGCAGCACACACAGGTGACAGGAGACTGGTGCAGCACACACAGGTGACACGAGACTGGTGCAGCACACACAGGTGACAGGAGACTGGTGCAGCACACACAGGTGACACGAGACTGGTGCAGCACACACAGGTGACACGAGACTGGTGCAGCACACACAGGTGACAGGAGACTGGTGCAGCACACACAGGTGACACGAGACTGGTGCAGCACACACAGGTGACACGAGACTGGTGCAGCACACACAGGTGCCCCAGTTATAATTTGTTTGGAGGTTGAACAGGATATCCTGAGATCTGCCGCCCAAACTGAGATTTGTAAATCTAATGATAGAATGATGAATCTGTAGGCAGCAGCACGAAGGGGACAAACTCACAGAATGATCAGCGAACACAAAAGCACGCCCTAATTCCAATATTTGAAACTCTTTCAGGACCAAATTTTGTCTGGTGTTAGGACAGCATTAGTTTTGAGCGGAATTTTTTACTGCGACATGACAAAGCTAAAACCATTCTGAAGAAAAAGTATTGGCTCTATCGGGTCATATCATCTTCTTCTTCTCTTCCACCTTGTACCTCATCGAAGTGTCGGGGGGAGATGTAATGTTCGTTGATGAGCTCTGTCAAGAGCACTAATAAGACTGATGTTCATTTCTTTAAGGCTGTTCTTAATGCCATCACTCCATATTCTCCGAGGTCTTCCACTCGCTCTATACCCGTTGTAACGTTTTAGTGTGGCTCGCTGTGGCGGATAGTACCAGTGCATTCTTGTTAGGATACCCCGTTCAAGCTCATCAACGAACATTACATCTCCCCCCCCCCCCCGCCCCCCACTTCGATGAGGTACAAGGTGGAAGAGAAGAAGAAGAAGCAACTAGCGATTAGTCTTCAAAGATTTTCAAGAATGGACAAACTATTATTGATCCGGTTATTTCCCTGTGACCGTAGCACCATGTCGTGACCGTAGCACCATGTCGTGACCGTAGCACCATGTCGTGACCGTAGCACCATGTCGGTCTGAATCAAGTTCGGGAATTTCATAGAAACATAAACCAGTTGTCAGAAAGCAAGTGCACTTACATACCAATTGTCACCATTATTAAGACATTCAAGCATAACTATGAGTGCAAAGAGACAGATTATAAACAGCATATTAATTCCAACATTAGGCTACCAGTGCCAAACGTGGACACTATCTAAAACCCATGTAAGCTAAATTGCCACTGGACATTAAATGTGTGTATTCTGTGTCCCAACATCGAACGCAATTTGTTGTTTTAAAACCCCACCCTGGCTGTTGCTGAGGGCTCTAAAATAACAACCTAGTGGTCGAGCAGGGTTTCTGGGACCTGTCCCAAGTGATCCTCATCCGAATGGTAGCATTTCGTGTAGCCCGGTATTTATCGCTGGGTGTGATGTCTTGCTGGGGTTGAACCTCAGCCAGCCACTTACGAGATGAGATGCCCCATAAAAGCCGCCAACCTCACCATCCGAGATCAAATGAATAATGATACCATAAGACAAACTGTGGAATGACATCTTTACTAGATTAATCGAGAAACAACAGATCAGGTGGTTTGGTCATCTCGTTAGAATGCAGCAAGATCAAATACTATCAAAAGCACATCTTAGAAGATTAACTACAAGAGCAAGGGGGCAAACTGAGAAAATTATGGATCGACAACCTTAGACACTCTACGTTTTCACGGCATGACATTAGCCAGCGTGCACTCCATCGCAAATTATTTCTCCCCACGTACAATTACCGGCAGAAGTGGTTTATGATGATGATGATGATACCATGTTGGCTTTCTGTGACAGACTCACTGACAAGGGACATTATCGTGGTGACCCTGCTGCCCCTAGTTACGTTCCTTGTTGCAGTTACTGTCATTTACCTGACTGCCAGACGCTACCTCAGACACAGGTGAGCTTTGATTTACCTCAGGTGAGCTTTAATGTACCTCAGACACAGGTGAGCTTTAATGTACCTCAGACACAGGTGAGCTTTAATGTACCTCAGACACAGGTGAGCTTTAATGTACCTCAGGCACAGGTGAGCTTTAATGTACCTCAGACACAGGTGAGCTTTGATGTACCTCAGACACTGGTGAGCTTTAATGTACCTCAGACACAGTTGAGCTTTAATGTACCTCAGACACAGGTGAGCTTTAATGTACCTTAGACACAGGTGAGCTTTAATGTACCTCAGACACTGGTGAGCTTTAATGTACCTCAGACACAGTTGAGCTTTAATGTACCTCAGACACAGGTGAGCTTTAATGTACCTCAGACACAGGTGAGCTTTAATGTACCTCAGACACAGGTGAGCTTTAATTTACCTCAGACACAGTTGAGCTTTAATGTACCTCAGACACAGTTGAGCTTTAATGTACCTCAGACACAGGTGAGCTTTAATGTACCTCAGACACAGG